TTCTATGAACAAAATGGAAAATTACCTGATTAAATTCTGAAAGAAAAGATAAGTCCCAATTGCATTTATCCTCTTCTTCATCAGGCATCTTATTAAAGATTTTCTGGATAAAATCAATAGTATTTTTATTATCACCCTCTATGATAATTCCTTTGTAGTCATATCTCCATTCCAAAATGTAAGATTTAATGGACAAAATTTCTTGCATCTCTATTTGAGCTGAATCCCAATGCTTATATTTTGATCCAAATGCACATAGAAACCTCCCTCTATGATAACGGAAGACTCCACCAATTCCTGCATCATAATTCCTTTTAACCGAGGCATCAATGTTTAATTTAATCCATTCGGGAGGAGGAGGAAACCAATGATAGGATAGCTATGATAGCTGGTTGATTTCCCAGTAATCCAAATTTCTTTTGAATGAAGCTTCAGCCATGCTTATAGCATTTGCTGCTATGGAAGAAGAGCTAACTTCCTTTCCACCATGAACAAACATATTCCTGTTATTACAATTTAAAAAATTGCAAAACAGTAAATATTTCCTATAAACGGATTAATGTTAGCCATTACTTTCAAAGCTAAATATCAATCCTGCAAGGAATTGAAAATAGCCCCAGCTCTTAATCAATTTGAGAATTTTTAACAGTCTTTGACAGTTAAGCATGATATGGCATTCATTCTCTATGGAATTGCATCCTCTCGGGCATTCATCATTACTGGACAATTTTCTGTATTTCAAAAAGGATTTTGTAGGAATTGCATTAATACCAAGTCTCTACCAGAATAAATTCACACGTGGTCTAAGCTTAAGTTTCTTCCTCCATATCCAATTTGGATCTTCACATCTGTCCAATTCAACTTCCATAGATATTATGGATGAGAGTGATTTCCCTAAATATTTGTATTTAAGTTCCAACTGATCTTCATCTGTTTCAGAATAAATAAGAACCTTATTAATAATTTCTATTAAGTCAGGTCCAACGAGTTGCTTCAATTTATCTTCATTCCATTCGCCTCTATTGATAATGAAATCCATATTTTGATTAATCGACTCTATGTTTGTGACAAAGGTAGGCCATTTGGATATGGATTTATCAAAAATCCAAACATCATGTAATATATTGATATAGTTTCCTTTAGAAACCTCCATCTCAAAATATTTTTAAGAGCCTTATATCCTTGAAATATAATTCTGATAGTAGGAGAGCCTGAAAATCCCATAGCTTATTTCCATACTTAATCTTCAGAATTTTGAAAAGTCTTGAATTGGAACCTGATATAAGCTTCCATGCAAATTTTGCTCGAAGTGGACCTGCCTTATATTCCATAGATTGAATACCTTGTCCTCCCATTTTAATAGGTCTGCAAAGAACTTCCCAAGAAACATGTGTAACCCTTTACTACCATCATATTTATTCCTCAAAAAATCTATACTCATTCTATCCAATTCCTTTAGTACTCCCAAGGGTACTAAAGAATGAGTAATGTGATATACAGGTAAAGTAGATAATACCAATTTGAGAAGTTGTATCTTCCCAGATAAAGAGATGTAACGGTTACCCCATACATTTAAATGTTTGTTTGCTTTGTCCAGCAAATGGAAGAAGTCTGTCTGAGAAGACCTCCTCAATTCTATATTAATACCAAGGTATTTAAGATTTTTCACTACCTTGAAATCCAGAATATTTGCCAATCTCCTACCTCTCTTTTTATGAACCGAATTACCAAATAAAATGGAAGATTTATGAACATTAATCTTTTGCCCAGTCCAGTTGCAGAAATGTTTCAAAATCTTCTTAGCTATCTTGACTTTTCTCCTATTGGCTTCTAAAAACAGGATAATGTCATCCGCATACAAAAGTAGGGAAATTTTTTCAGCATTGGGAGCAACTTTGATGCCCAATTCCTTCCTATTCTGTATAACCTCATCTGATAGGAGTTGAGAACATAATATGAAAAGAAATGGAGATAGGGGGCAGCCTTGCCTAAATCCCCTTTTTGCCTTACCCCAATTAGAATTGTTACCTTTAATAATTATAGAAAAATTGGAATCAGTAACACATTGAATGAGATAATTTGCAAACTTATCTCGGAATCCCAAATTCTTCAAGACTTGGGTAAGAGTAACCCATCCCATACTATCATAGGCTTGCTCCATGTCAATTTTAATAGCAATGAGTCCTTTTTTAAATTTTGAAAATCTAAATTTATTACAAACTTCATGGGCTAATAAAATGTGTTCTGAACCCAATCTACCTTTAATAAAAGCCGATTGGTCTTCAGAAATAAGTTTAGGAATGAGACCAATCATCCTGTTCAATAGCATCTTAGCAACTAACTTATAAATTGTTAAACAAAGACTAATAGGTCTAAAGTTGGAAGGCAAATTTGAATTTTCTGTTTTTGGTATGAGGACTAACAAAGTTTCTTTCCAACTTGGACTCATAATGCCTTGTTCAAAAAAAGAGCAAATAGCCTTCCAAACATCTTCTTTAATGATTACCCAGAATTTTCTAATGAAAGAGTTTGAAATGCCATCTATACCTGGAGAAATGTTGGAATCAAGATGCTTAACCACTTCTTCTAATTCTTCTTCCCTGAAACCTTCAGCCAGAATTTTTTTATCTGCTTCATTCAAAACATTGTAAGGAGTAGGCCAACCTGATAACAAACACTCCTTCTCTTCCCATTTATCTTTGAAAAAGTCATAAAAGATGTTTTCAATTTGCTTTTGGTCTTCAGTAATATTCCCATTTTTATCCTTAATTTGCTGAATCCAGTTATTATTTCGTCTCCCAGATGCATAAATGTGAAAAAATTTGGAGTTTGAATCACCTTCATCCATCCATTTTGTCTTTGCTCTTTGCCTCCACCATGTGTTAAGTCGAGAAAGAGTAATATTCAACTCATGAATTTTTTATTTCAGCAGCTGTAACTTGTTGTTGGACAAACCTCCATCCTCGGCTTCTTCTGGTTGCATTTCTAAAATTTCTTTCAATAGACTTTCCTTTAAAACCTTCAAATCCTTGTGCTTGGATTTAATCCAGAAAAAAAGAGCTTTCGACACTCTTTTAAATTTCTTAATTAAAACATTAACTCGATCTCCATTCATATTCTTCTTCCAAGAGCTATTAACTATTCCAGTTGAGCTGCATATGAAGACCAAACTTCTTCATATCTTATCATTCTATTTTTCCGAATAACTGGCATCATCAGATTTAATAAAATGGGGCAATGATCAGATGCTAATCTTGGTAGGTGTTTTATAAACAGATTTTGAATTGTTTGTATTGCTATCGAATTCAAAATGCATCTATCTAATCTTTCCATGATCCTTGCTCCTCCTGTCTTGTTATTACACCAAGTAAACCTTAGTCCAATGAATTTCAAATCATGTAGATCACAAGAGCTAATAAAATTCCTCATATCTTGAAACCTCTGAGAAAATTTGAATTTTTTCCCTCCATGCTTGTCTTCTTGAGATAGGAGACAGTTGAAATCCCCTCCTATGATAATGGGTAAATCTGAGTTTGAATTATCTTCAAGAGTTTTCCAAAGGCTCCTTCTTTTGTATAAGTCATTACTCCCATAGATAGAAGCAATGAGCCAAACACCTTTATTGAAGATATTTAGTTCTCCCATAATTGCTTGAGAAGAAGTCGCCAAATTGAAAATGAAGCAAAATCCTTCCTCCAACAAACCATAAGACATCCTGAGAGTCCTTCTGCAGGGATAATATAAAAATCCCATAAATTACCAATGAATCTATCACAATCCTTTATATCTAAGGAAGAAATCTTTGTTTCATAAATCCCAACAAAGATTAAATCATTCTCCTTAATGCATTCGTTCAAGTAATGGGAGGCTTCTTTCTTTCTAGACCCCCTACAATTCCAAAAAATTATTGAAGTCATTATTGATAAGAACCGGGATTACTCCCTTTCCTACCTTTAATTAGACCTCCTCCTTTTCTCCCATGAGAAATAATATTATCCTTTCCCAAGGATTTCAGCTCTTTTTGTAGTTTAAAATCTGATTTATGAAATGGAATACTTGAGTTCGCTGGTAATCCCTCAGGATTTACCAGAGTTCACAAGCAACCCGTCCCATTGTTGTCATTTGATTGAGAATCAATCTTCTCCAGGAACTCCACTTGAAGATTTTCTTTAGCAAGCTGTACATTTCCATTTAATTCTTTTACTATTTCATCTCCTTATGTATTAAAAAAAGCCTTAGAAATTGAAACATCCCTCTCATCTTCAATAAGAGGATTTGTTTTAATTGTTTATGCATTACTGCCTTTATCTTTGGGCTCATCAAGATCATTGTTATGCAAGTCTTCTTCCAGGATACTGAAACAGTTATTCAATAGAACTTCAGTGCTTTTGTTCTCTTCCAAACCAATGGTTTTATTGAATGAATCTGAAATAGAAATAGGAACTATTTTTGTTTCATTAATCTTAGCAGCTTTTGGTATGTATTTAGTTTGAGTTTGTACTTTTTGAGTATCAAATTTTTGCTTAAAAAAATTTGTCCTAGCAGCTCTATTCCTCTTGAATTTGACCTGTATCTAAGGTCCTAATTCATCTTGTTCCCTGGAATTACCTCGTTCTTGATCCGTTATCTTCCCATTAACTTTAAATACTTCAGCTACTGTTCTGGAAGAAGCATTATTGATCAAAGAACATTTGCTCTTTAAATGGCCTAGTTTTCCACAATGGTATCAAAGAGAAGATATCTTCTCATATTCTACCCTTTGAAATGATCTACCATGTAGCCCTTCTATCCAAATTCCCTTAGGAACTTTTTTGTCCAGATCCATGCATACACATACTCGGGCATATTCTCTTTTACCCCATTTAAAAGAATTCCCATCTAGATAAATAGGAATTCCTATCTTGGAAGCTATCCGACAGATGTTCTGTTCATCCCAGCAGTGCAATGGTAAACATGGCAATCGAATCCATATCAGAGCTGTAAGTCCTTTAAGGGCTTCGGGTGAAAAGTTGGGGGACCATTTATCTAGTCCAATTATATTTCCTCCTATGAACCAAGGACTTCCCTCCAAGACTTCTTCAACTACTTCTGATTTTGAAAAGGAACATAGAATCCAGTCAAGCCCCAAAGTCGTGAGATGGAAATTACTAAATCTAGCCCATTGTCTCCTTAGTTCTCTGCTACATACTGGAAAAGGGATATTATTACCCAATACTTTGATAACCAGAGAATTCTTGAGAACTTGAGAATTAACATTTTCTGATTTACAATTCATAATTACTGCAATCCCATCATCAGTAACAGGAGTCGAATCCATGTCATAGTTTAACTTTATGTGTTGTGTCTTCTTCCACGCATTAACAACATTCAATTTAACTCCTTCAGAATTCTTCACTACAGCTTCCTTTAAACCAGTTCCACCAATTACAGATTGATTTACTGGATTGTTTGAAAAGTCAGAACAAGGAACAGAAGAAAGCTTTTCCATAGAATTAGATTTATCAATAACATTTTTCAAAATGTTCGCATTTACTCTAGCTAAGGGACAGAGATTGCATTTGAACATCCAAATTTGTTAACAAAAATCTTAAATTCAGATGAAGAAGCTTCAAACTCCTTATGTTTCAAATTTGATCGCGATTTTTCAAACAATGGAGTTATACTATCTGAATTGTTCAAAATTATTTTTCCCATACCTTCCACGTATTCCACTGTCTTCTTCATTGGAATATCGCATACCTCTTTGATAACGAGAGGTTTTGCAGTGATTTGAGATTATACCTTATTTGCTCCTGATTGCTGAAACAACCATTATTGATCCTCCTTATTCTTGATACTTCCATTTGATCCTTCCTTTGACATAATCGCGTCGACAGGAGGTCGACGGTCATCAACCTTCTTCAACTTATCTGCTTCTGATCGCTGAAACAACCAGTGCTGATCCTCCTTGTTCTTGATTCGTCCATCTAATCCTTCCGATGCCTTAAGCACGTCGACAGGAGGTCGACAGCCATCCCCCTTCGTCGCCTATCTCCGACGATGAAGTTTCCAGAAAAATTGGGAATTAAAAAGTTTGAAATTATGGCAATTTCTCTCTCTAGCAGTTTCTCTCTCTCTAGCAATTACTGCAATCCCGTCGCCTATCTCCTGTGATACAATCACAGTCTCTCAGAGTTAATAAAAATAAAAAAATTTACAAACTTCATTACATGAAAATCTAATCTAATCTGTCTTGAAGTCTTAGTCCGAAGTATGATTTCCCTAAAATATTAGTATACACATAAACTAAGTATAAAATAAAAAATACTATAAAATATAAAGATGTGAGCCATAATATTTATTATCATAAAAAACATAAACTCATAAGCTTAGGTTGAAACATAGTAGGCGGTGTGGTTTGGATAAATCCTAAGTTTATATATTGGTTGAATTTTTCTAATTGATTGGATTTAGTTTGTGGAAAGGCCAAGGAAATTTTATGTTCAAATTAAAATTTTAGTGTATTTAGTATTTTTAACTTTATTTTAAATTGAATTTAAACTATTAAGGTTATTTAATAAGATTAGTTACTTAAGATATTTTAATTAATCATTTTTTAAATTAATTATAGATTATTTTAATATTTATGTTTAACTTTCATATTAGTATTATTGTATTTTATCTAATTGATTGCAACTTCTATTTTTAAAGATTGATTTATCATTTAAGTTTGATTATTATTTAGGATTTATTGCACTTAGGTTAAAAGTATTCACTAATTTTAAAAGTGAGGTATCATTAATTTTTTTATATTTAATATTATCATTCATAAAGGGTGCATGCATCATAAATCTAAGTTTCCTAAGACTCGTCCTTAATTTTTGTCCATAAGTGTCACTAAAATAATATTGGATGAAAAGTATTGTTACTAATCCTTTGGACATGTGCATGAATGTAAATAGTTTTTGGATTCTAAATTACAAAAAAAAAATCTATGTAGCATAATAAAAATAATTTGCAAGTACTTTTGAATTTAAAATACATAATAAACAAAATTAAGGTTTCTATAAGGTTTTAAGGTTAGAAACTCCCACAATCACATCAAAGGTTTTTGGTTCTTAAGGCTACCTAAGTTTTAGAATACTTACAACCTACTAGAGCCAACATTCAGTATTTCTACCTATAGCACCCCCACCTGGCTAGATACCATTTCTCGTAGTTCTTGCAAACAAAGACAATGAAGCATGTATTAAAACCACATTTTATAATTATAATTGAAATGATTGAAAAAAAATATAATTTAAATAAAAATGTATCTTTTTTAAGCTTGCACACTAGTTCAATTGATTGCACTTTGAACTTTTCACTTTTAAAAGCAACCTTTTTATTTTCCAATTTTCACCCTGAGGCACAAAAAAGATGAAAAAGAAGGAGAGAGAGAGAGAGAGAGAGAGAGAGAGAGAGAGGTAGAGAAAAAATGAGAGTTTTTTCTTTTCGACAATTACCCAAACCAACCAGACTTTAACACAAATACTTTCACTTATCAAAACTATACATCTTCAACTTTCAAATATACACTTCTCCCTTTTCTAACACACACCTTTATTTCCTATACGTTGATTTCTCAACTCTCAAAATATGTACAAACTTCACAATTCTAATTTTAAAAAACGCCTACACATGTCACTTTACCTCTCAAAAATCAAACACTTTACTTTTACCTTTCTCACATAATATCATTCCATTATAAATTTTCACCATTCAAAATGCACACTTCATCATTCAAAGATCACACACTACACCTTACTTTTCACATACACAATTTCCACCATTCCAAAACACACATAAGTTTACTTACATATAAACTCCATAGCACCACTTTCTCAAACACACAAGTTGACTTACTTATAAAATCCATATCACTACTTTCCAAAACACAAGCAATTTCCATCTTTCAGTACACACACACTAGTCACCTTTTCCTACCAAACCAAACACTTTACTTTTTCACCTTCCTCATACAATACTCTTTCAACATACACTTCTCACACAAAACACCTATCAGCACATATACACTTACACTTTACATAATTCAAATACTTTTCCTTTTCCCAAATCATAACACAAGATAATACAAAATACGTTGCAAAACTCCATTTACTCATAAGATTTTCTTGCATTTTTACATTGAAAGCAAACAACAACAACGAACCCTTATTTCACTCATTTATTCCAACTTAAAACTCATGTCAAATGAAATTTTGAGTAAAGAAATAGAGACTCTCTATTTTTCATTTTTTTAACCCTTGCACACAAATGCATACATTTTTGAATAAGATCATGAATTTCCCAATAACTCTATTTAACTGATAAGATTTAGAGAAGAAGCTTTTAAAATTTACGAACAAGAGTTTTGGATGACTAATAAAACTTCATATATTACAAGATTACTCTTGAATTTACCTAAAAATAAACATACTTATCAAGATTATAACTTAAGATTGCCATTGGTTTGTTTGTTAGAATGCTTATAGGACATGCACATAAATTAGCATTATACACAAGTATTGACCTTGGTTTTTCCCAGACTTGTGGTCAAAGAGTTCACCAGGTCAAATTGACCAAGCCAGGCCCTGAGACCCCTTCCATTTAATTTCTTAGGTCAAACTGATTTTATTGAGCCTAGGCCCATGCCTTGGGTTAACCTGGTTGACCAGGTCAACCCAGGTTGACCCAATTAGCTTTAATGGGTCTATTCAAGTTCTAATCCAAATCAAACTCATCAAAGGCTCAACCCTCACCTCTTAGGCTCTACTTAACTAGGTTGACCAAGTCAAGCTTTGACCTATTTAAGTCAAATTAATAGTATTTAATGCCTAGAATTATTTCCTATTGATCCCTAGAGCTAGGTCCCATGCTTTTGAACCGAATTCCCTCCTAATCATGCCTTAATTCAATCCTAGCCATCCATGATAGGTCTAGGGTTATAAATATATATTTTAGGGTTCTTAAAAAGTCTCTCTTGATCTTATTCTCTTGCTAGTGGCTCTCAACCCAAGACTTCTTGTGTGTAAGATCCCCTAGCATAGCTCCACCTTTTCTAATCCAAATTCCATCGGTCAAAGCTTGCCGGCGGTGATCCTCCAGCGAACCGAAGGCCAAAAGCTTCCTAGGTGAATTCCGTTCAATCCAAGGTAAATCAAAGCTCTAGTTCAATTAGGAAAACATTTGATGATAGTCTACAAGCTCAACCATATCTAGATCTCTCAAATCCATTTATTGGATTGAGGTAAAATCAAAACCCTCGATCAGGATACTTAGAATTAAATAGCATTTCAAAAAGTGCATTTTGAGCTATATAACTTATTCCCCCTGATTTTTGTTCATGTGCAGATCATGTGTTTAAAATTTTATTTGATTTGGTTGATTCGATCTTGAGAATGAGATGAAAAATCTATCAGGGCTTCGATTTCGCCATAGGTCTCGATGTACAAGATCTCCGTTGTTGATCACTTGATCAATGGTGGAGATCTCATTGTTCTGTCATTCTGTTCGAATAGCAAGATTGATCCCGCAGTCAATCATTTCATCCAGCTCGATCAGAGCCGTTGAGCTAAATTGCGCTCGATCAGATAGTCCCGCTCTTTTGTTGATGGGGATTAGTGATTCGGTGCTGATTTTAATGCCGCTTCCACGCAATCATTAGTAATGATTGCAAACCATGTCAATGGTTTTGAATCAGCCAGTGGAGAGCTACCGCGTGTCTGACCACCGTCGTATTAGGGTTTTAATTAAATTTTAATTAATTTTAATTGTATTTTAATTAAGAGAGTTTTAAATAATTATTAAAAAATATTT